CACGTCTCCTTTAAGCGTAACCCCTTTTATGTTAAATCTATGTTCCCTAGTAATTGAAAATGGTTCTGATGGATTTCATCCTAAGATCTTAAAAGAAGCAGCTAGCCAGAAGTTTGATGCTTTGATTTTAATTTTCCAAACACTATTGCTGTGGGGCTAGCCCAATAGATTAAGAAGAAATCATGTAAAACCGTACTTAAAGAAGCAATTTCAAGAGCATTTACTGCTTTGAGAAGACACCCGATCAGCAGCTGAAACAGGATTACTGACAGAGGAAGGCAGCAAGAATCATGGAAGCGACAGAAGGGCAAGTTCAGCACTTCATTGGGAAGCTGATAAGAAAGAGTGGGCATGAGTGTGGGCTATGAAAAGAGAGAAGAGCCAGCCATCTTAATAGTGAAAGAGCCAGAAAAGAAATTTAAACTGCTATACAGAATCAAGAAGGGAACATTGCAAAATTTGTTTAAGCTGAAAACAAAAAAAAATTAATAAAATCTTGTGAAGGAATCTTGCAGAAAAAGAAAAGTCAGGATAAAGACTTCAAAAGACCAAGGTTGCACAATTAAGCTACTATTTTGATGAGAAGATTTGCAAAGTCTGCAGCCAGAGAACTTTATTTCAGAATTTGTATGGTAGAAAGTGTGTTAGATCTCAAAAGGCAGCCAACATCCATTCTGCATGGGAAGAAGTAGAAACTGTGTCTTGGCTGCAGAAGGTGAAAAATCCCCAGAAGAAATTTTGACTGGTAAAAGTGATGTGAAAAACCTGAAAAAGGAAGAAAACCCAGTAAGCAAAACAGAGATACAGTAGCACAAATAGATTTTAATAAAGCTTAAAAGCAATAACTTACTACAGAACAGCCAGTAACGCAACTTAAAGCTTTATTGAAGAATTCAGTACAATATTACAGAACTTGAATTAAAAAGACTAGCACATAAAGGAAATACTACAAAATGGCTGTGATACAGTGTGTAGCAAGCTGTGCAGTCATTCAATTTAAAACAGTATTGGTGAAGGCAAGCTTAAAGAACAGACTTAAAATAATTTTGAAATGATAGTGATTTAAAGTAGGTTAACAGTAATAAGATGCATCATATTGAGAAGAAATGTAAAATGATGTATTTCTTTTGAGCACATTCAACATCAAAGAACATAAACAACTTGAAGGTCCAGCCTCAGTCCAATCTCAAATTTATTCGACATTGAGTTAGTTAGATATTGGATATACTGGAGAGTGGAAGGTTGTGTGCTGCAGACAGTTAAGTGGAGATGGGGCCAACACACAGATCAGCCATGATTTTATCAAGTGGTGGAGCAAGCCTGAATTGTCAAATGGTTTACGCCTGCTCCAACACTCATGTACTTAGGGTGGTGGTGATTTACCTGCTGCATGATTTCTAGCCTCTGATGTGCTCTTGCTGCCGCAGTATTTATACAGCCAGTCCTTTTCAGTTTTTGGTCAATGGTAAACCTCGGAATGTTGATAGAGGGGTACTCAGTGATAGTAATATCATTGATTGTCATAGGGCAGTAGTTCAATTGTCCCTTACTGGAGATGGTCATTGCCTGCCATTTTGTGCCATGAATATTACTTGTCGCTTGTTACCCCAAGCCTGGATAATGACTAGACATTGCTACATTTGGACATGGACTGCTTCAATATCTGAGGAGTCACAAATGCTGCTGAACGTTGTGCAAATATTGGTGGGCATTCCCACTTCTGACCTCATGACGGAGGGAAGGTTAGTGATGAAGCAGCTAAAGATGATTGGGCCTCTGACACTATCCTGAGGAGCTCCTGCACAGACAGCCTGGAGCTGAGATGACTGACCTCCAACAACCACAACCAGCTTCCTGTATGCCAGGTATGACTTCAACCAGTGGAAAGTTTGCCCCTGATTCCTGTTGACTTCAGTTTGCATGGTGGGGCAGAATATGAGGCTGGAAATAATAAGGACTCTCAAAGAAGGCTACCAAGAAAAATCTAGCAACTTTTAATCCTCATCCAAATTGGAGAAATCAAATTGGCGTAGAAGGCCTTGAGGATGAACTCGGAGTATTCAAGGCAATTTCTTACACTTATTGTGGAACCAACCAGTGAACTGTCTTTTTTTGATCTCATAATGTACATTGAGACAAGATGAGTTATCATCATGGTAAAGGATCCTGAAGCAAAGAATTATAATTACATTGTGAAATTTCATGTTCCTTTTGAGGGTGAGAAACTTTGAATCAGAAATTAATGCCATAAACTATGAAGTAAGCATTGGTGAAAGTGAGCTAGCAGGAAAGATTAAAGCATTAGATGCTAATGATCAGCATGGCACATTTATGGCAATATTCCATAATTCTCAAGATGTCTTTTTTCATTTTAATATATAATGAGAAGGATGCATTATCTGTGACTAAGAGCATTGAGGATGGTATCAAATTGAATGAAAAAATGTGACTTTGCAAAGCTTATTGGTAGGCCAGAGGAAAAAGTATAGTAGGAAATAAGTTGTGATAAACTAGAAGAGAGAATAAAAAAGTTTGTACAAGTACCTAAAAAGGAAGAGCGTTACTTGAGTAAACAATGGTCTCTTTATTCAAAGTTGAGATGGATAAATTCTTAAAATGATAAGTAGTGAAGGGTTGTGAGCAAAGGTCGGACAGTGGATTTGAGGTCAAGCTTAGATCAGCAATGATTTTATTGAATGTTGGAGGTGATTCAAGGGACCTGTGACCTTTTTCCTGCACTTGTAATAGCAGCATGATACAAAGTGTTCAGTACCATTTACAACTCCTCATGCTGAAGCAATCTACGCCTGCATGGACCAAGACTTGGACAACAATCTGGCTTAGGCCAGTGTGTGACAATGATGTTTTGTCACTTCAGTGCCAAACAATGACCAACTCCAACAGAATCTCGCCTTGTATCATGTCATTCAATAGAAGATTACTATTGTTGAATTGACCAGAAATTTTTCTGAACTAGCCATTTACTGTTGCTACAAGTGCAGCTCAGAGGCTAGGAATTCTGCATTGCATAAGTCAGAGTCTGCTGCCATTGACAAAGTACAGGTCGGGATTGTCATGAAATACTTTCCACTTGCCTGGATCAGTGTCGTACCAATGAGACACCAGAGATTTGGCAGAATTCATGAGAAAAAGCAATCTGCTTTCTTCTGTTTCCCTCCTATCAGCACTGGTATACTGTGGATGCAATGTATCCACCCACAAGGTACACTGGATAATTTAATAAGTCCCATTTGTCAGAATCCTAATCAGCCTGTGATGTCTACAATCTATAAGAATAAAGTCAGAAGACATATGGAAACATTGCGATCTGCAAGCTTCCCTCCAAGTCTGTTACTATCTTAGTTTAATACTATATTGCTGTTTGTTCATCATTATTGCTCAGTTAAAATCCTGGAACTCCCTCCGAACAGCACTTCAGTTGTACCTATATTTTCATGGATGCAGTGGTTTAAGTCAGACAGCTCACAATAACATCCTCAAGGACAATTAGAGAGGTATTTATAAATGATGGCCTTGCCAGTAGTTCTATAACTCCATATTATGTACCCTGAAGTATGTTTTATCTGGGAAAGTTGACTTTTTCTGTTGGCAGTAATTACATTTATTGCTTATGGAAGTGCTTTATGTAAACTTAACTATATGCTGTTATGTCGTTTAATGCCCACATCCGTGAGTTTGGGTTCAAGACAGACTGGGTGAGGCAAAGGTAAGGTCAAGAACTATCTTCAGGTTTTGGGCTTCTTTATAACACTGTCCATTATATATTAAGACCAAAGATTACAATACATGGTGTTCCGAGATATACCAGGCTCTAATATTTTGAGTACATTTTTGAAAAATTAGTTTGTAAACCCCATCCCTGATGCTAGTTAATCTACTTGATGTGCCACTTTGCAAAGTTTCTAACTTTCACATGGTTAGATTTCAGGCTTCTGCCTAGATCTCCGTATTTCTCTCCTCTCTTCCCCCTTTATATTTGCCGATGATGTGCTGTTTAGGCCCAATGACATCATTACAAAAGTTACTTCTGAGTCTTAAAGCCTTTTGCAATGTCTGCTGCCTCTGAATGGCTTAAAATCTATAATGGAAATTGCTATGTGGCATCATTATGTAATTGCTGCTTAGAACTGTGGTTTGTTAACTCCTATATTGAGACTAAATTGACATTTGTATAGCACCAATAGCTACAGCATTGACAAAATTCCAACTGCAATTCAACTTCAATTCATGGAACATTATACCGAAATTGCAATTAATTAATGTTTGAGCAATTCGGTTTTCTTTCTTTATTCTTTTTGGGATTGTGTGTTTCCTGGCAACGCATTTGTTGCCTATCCTTAATTGCCTTTGAGGTGATGTGCTTGCTGGGCAGTTTAAGAGGACAGGTTAGAGTTAACCATATTGTTGTCGATTTGGAGTTAAATTTAATCAGATCAGGTGATGGCAGTTTTCCTTCCCTAAAGGAGCTTTGTGAAGCAGATGGATTTTTAACATTAGATGTTAGATCTCATGGTCACCATTGCTGAAACTAGCTTTATATTTCAGATTTATTATTTACATTTAAATTCCATTAGCAGTGAATTTTGAACCTAAAGCACCGCCTGGGAATCTGGACAGCCAGTCCAGTGACATCACTGTGCCACAATGTATCCTCCAAGTTTCTATTGCCTTTATGGCTGAAATAAAAACAGGAAATCTGCCCCTTTCCCTGTGCCATTGCTCCTCTCTGTGTGGTGGAAAGTGATCAACTCCAAAAGATCTCTGTTCTGGCGAAACTTGCTTTCCTGTTGCATCAGTCCTCTATTTTGGACACAACTATATTTTTTAAGCCAAGAGTATAAGCAGTTGCATCTCAGTATAACATCTTATTTGCTTGATACGTTTTATTAGAACACATACACATTTCATTGCTGGTATTTGGGTGTTTATTCTATAATTCTACAATGTATAATATTTGACCCATAAGTTGCTTTTTATAGTTGACTACAGGCACAGTGAAACCAGTGCTACTCCCTTAATGATAGCAGCAGGTCGGGGCTTCCTCAGTCAAGTGGAGCAGCTACTTAGCATGGGAGCAAATGTCAGTGTTAAGGCTTCAAATGGCTGGTAAGGGAATTGGATTTTTCTTTACTTATGCCTTGGTGATTAGATTTTAATTAAAAATATGTCATTTATTAATTAAATTAACCATTGTTTTTTGTTAATAAATTCATTTGATTAAAGTTGATTTGAATATGGATTATGTTTGCACAATTTTTTTGCAATCTGGTGGAAATAATTATGCTAAATTTAACATTTTTATAAAACCGAAAGCTTAGCAGAAAACAAATGTTTTTGTTACAATCTGGATACTGCAAGTTTGGGTCTTGGGGAACCTAGACAAGTCTGCTAACCGATTTGAGAGAGGTTTTATTCACTCACTGATAATTAGTATAATACTGCAGGGGGAGAAAGAAGCTTTCTGACTTTCATGCAATTAGTGCATTGTTAGCATTTTATGGTTATTCAAACAAATCGTATCAATAAGTAGTCTTTTTTTGCATTCAGCTACAAAGATGGAATTGTATAAAGCGGTAATAACAACTTACACTTAACAGGAGCATTATCAAGCAAAATTGTACACTGGATCACATAAGGAGGTATTGGGACAGCTGGCAAAGGTTTGATTAAAGAGGTAGATTTATTGACTAAATCAAAGGAGGTGGATAGGTGGATAAGCAGGGGTTTAGGGAAGCAATTTCAGTTTAGGGCCTAGGCAGCTGAAATCACAACCACCAATGATGGAGCAATAGGGCATGTCATTGAGCAAGAATTGGAGAAATGCAGAGATACTAAACTATTACAGCTGAGGAGGTTACAGATACAAGGAAGAGCAAGTCTGTGGACGGTTTGAAGATGAGATTGAGAATTTTAAAATTAAAGTGTGGCTGAACCAGGGGCTAACATAGGTCAGTGAGTACAGGAAATGATGGGCAACCAGAACTTTGAATGAGAGAGGATATGGACTTCTAATTTGTATAATCTGAACTTTGGCATAGTTCCACAATGTGACATTGCCTGTGTTAAAATTGGTGTCAGCATTGTTTTTGAACATGTTCCTTTATCAATGTAACAATTTCTTTCATTATTTTGAGGGTGTAATATTTTTAATGGCACATGATGTGGGGAGAACTTTGATGTAATTCACACACCTGTCTGTCTGACCTATCTGCCATTCAGAAACAGGAGCAGATCATATTCTGCCATGAACTTTGGAATGTAGCTGACCTGAACCTTTCTCTGTCAACCTCCTCTTGATCTGTCACACCCTTGTATTACATGTCAAAACTTGAGATTGATAGATTTTGTTTCACTTGACCTTGCCTCAACACCTTTGTATAAAGAAGAGCTTCTTGATTCACTTATGAATGTTTCAGCTCTGTTAAGGCAGTGCCCTGTTCTGATCTGGCCTATCAACTTCATTGGTTGTGAATATGTTGGAGTTTCTCCACTAATTAGAGAATCAATTCCTTGCACAGATGTGCAAGTGATCTTTTTTAGTTCTTACATTATGTTTGTCAACACTCCAATATTTTCTAAAACAATTTTTCAACTATAAATTGCTAATGACAAGAAGTAATCCCTAATTAAAAGAAAAACAAAAAGAACTGTGAATGCTGTAAACCAGAAACAAAAACAGAAATTGCTGAAAAAGCTCAGTAGGTCTGGCAGCATTTATGGAGACAAATCAGAGTTAAAAGAATTAATTAAAAGAAACTTGTCCAGCCCTAATTAAAAGAAACTTGTCCAGCTAAAGCAATTAAAATTAATTCAATAGCTTCTAATTATCTGATTACAGGTCCATAGTAGTTTAGACTTTGATTCCTTTCTTTATTGGTAAATATTATATGTTAATAAATGTGTATTTTATTGCATATTTTACTGAGATTACACCAATAAACTTTCAAATTTTGTACTCATCATGGATAGGAGGCAAAGATGATCTTTGAAGCTATCTCTATAGTGCCCTGTACTTCAAAATTAACTTGTTTTGTTTCAATATTTCCAGGATAGCTTTGGACTGGGCTAAACGATTTGGTCAAAGTGACGTTGTAGATCTTCTAGAATCTTTCAAGTAGGTACAGAAATTAACTGTTTTTGCAACATGAATCTGTTAATCACTTCAGTATGTTAAAACCAACTTCATTTTTGCAATAAAATATCCCTTTCTCAATCTTGGAAAGTACGTGTGCATGCAAGATTGATAATGCCAGATATTAAACAGTTCCAATTTAGGTACTGAAGGCTAATAATGCATCTGCCCTAATTCTTGGAGGTCTGTATTTGTACCGTAAAAGCACCCATTCAGATTAGGTGGGTAACTTGCAAAGTTCATTTACTCACCTTATCTAAATGATTTTGGCAGTAGCTGGTGTACCTGCAACACAGATCTTTGCTTGTTACTGCTGCTGTTAGATTTTGCACATGATTGGAAGCCCTGGGAAAGTTATTTGCTAATTACATGGGTCACCTAATTTTACCAAAGAGAGGTTGCATGTTTGAGGAAAATTGTATCAACAGATTTGGTTCAATGAAAGCTCTTTTGAAACTGAACACTGGAACAGACTGGAAGAGGCATCTTCAATGACTGAGGCAATGCTGGAGGCATTAGTGATGAAAGTGGGCATGAGGAGAGAGATCGTAAACCTGTGCGGACCCAGGAAAACCTTGGTAACTACTCTTCGAAGGGAGTGGGAGCAAGTGACCAGGAACACCAACTCCTAGAGTATGAACAGGAATATTTAATGACCCTGGGCTAGTGGTCAGTGTCAGTGTGTACACTCTTATGTGACATCTCCTACCCTCCAGCACAAGTGCAGCATGCCCTCATCTCTCAGCCAGCAGCATTCCCTAACATTGAGAGTTTAGCTTAACATAATACACACCAACTAATGATACCAGCTGCACGCCTGTTTCTGTATACCTTCAGCTATTGAGTTGTGGCATAATGATCACTCAAACATAGTACTGCATTATTGCTGACATTATGCAGAGCAAAGTGCAACGCAAAAGAAACCAGAGCAGATGAAAGCAAGTGAAGTTTACGTCTCTTGATCCGTACATATAAAATGGTTTCAGAATCTTTGTGCTGCAGCATTGCCCTTAGCATCCAATTACTGAGAACATGAAAGATGTTCCTGTCTTATGTTGCTTATAAACTGCCAATTCACCTTTACTATGCTGTCTTGTATAATGAACAAGCTGCTGATATTACCATGGACCTTTCTCTTCTCAACCAGTGCCCCTCCTTCATTCACATTCCCCTTTTGAGTTATGATTCTTGGCAATCCAGAAACCACCTGCACAGCGACAGGAGCTCATGGAGGAAGAGGAAAGAGAGCAGCAATGTTACATTAATGAAGTTGGCCCAGCACTTCACCTGATACGTGAAGCCACCAGCTCATACCCTTCATTGCACTTAGTTTGAAGGTTGGTATGGATCAGTACATGGAGGGTCACCACAAACAAGTGTACAATAACCAGGCCTGAAGTAAGAAATGGTTTGCTTGCCAGCCCATCCGAGGACAAAGTGGAAAGGTTCTGTTGTAGAGGACTCTGAATTCCTAGTTGGAGTGGCATACAGAAGATTGTTGAATTGACATGCATACCAGAACCAGCTAGGCGTCTGTCACTAGGGATCCATTTTCAAGTTGGCAGAAGGCATGGCACATTACTTGCTCTTGCCAGCCTCCGTTCTATCTCCCTGTTGTCCTACAGACTCTGACATCCCAGTGCTCTCCCCATACTTATTACAGCCTTTGTGTACTTAGATCACCTACTCTTCTGTCATTCCCCTGAGAATGTTACAACACTCTGTCTTTTTTGGAATGCACAGGAACTCTCCACAACATGTCCAAAAATACCTGTCAACTTTCAGACATGTCACACTAGAAAAAAATCCAGATGTCTAACTCTCCTGCAATCTGTAGGATTCTTGTTTCTGCTTACTCGTAAGAAATGAAGCACGATACAATTTAGGTATTGCCTGCACCTGTGTTCAAATTTGAGATCCTGGCATCATATCAGTTAGTTTGGCTGTGGGATATCTGGCTAGCATCAAGTTATTGTTTTCTGGTATACCCAAGGACATATAGTGCTATGCTATACGTACAAATTTCATACTGAGAGCCAGGGTAATCATCTGTAGAGTGAAACACCCACCAAAAGGTTTGAAAAATATTGGTTAGCCCTCAGTTTCAACAGAGCTTCAGTATCGCACTATATATAGCTGGGAATGTCTTGACATGCATTTTCTTTAATTACTACCGTTTTCTGTCTGAGGAAATTCTCCCAGCGGTAGAGTGGCTTTAAACCTTCCAGAAGAATCTCTGACGTGATCCAAGTAAAGTGTCAAAAACATCACTTGCACTCCTCTTCATTGCACTCATTGATCTGATCAATGCATTTGCTTCATGAAGTTCTGTGCATTATTCACCAAAGATTTGCATGTTCAAGAAACTTGTTTACAATTCTGGAATTGCTTCATGATATGGGACTGAGTGTTATGAGTAGGAAAATTGAAATCTTCAATATCCAGACTGTGGTTATACCAGGCTGTGTAATAGCCCTCATACTATTTATAATTTACCTGGCAGTGGTTCTCCACATTATCAAAGATCAACTGGTCTTTGCTGTCAACGTTAAATACTGCCAAGATGAAAAACTGTTTATCCTCCGTTGCCTCATTGACAAAGTTAGACTGCCTACCAGAGACATGCATGGGCTTGTGCAAAACTGCAGTCTGTTTGCCCACTCTGCAACAGATTTGCAAGCGACTCTTAATCTCTTCAATTTTGCCTGTCCTTGACCTTGACTAAAACAAAACTTGTGCATCAACGCACACCTGACCAGCCAAATAATCCAAGCCCCCTTTATGTTGAAGCATCTCCCAAATTCTGTGAGCTGCCCCTTTCAAAAAGGTAACTATTGACCAGGACAGCAGCAAGTCTTTGAGGAAGAGCTTTACAAATCAACATAAGTCCTGGTGTACAGACCTGTTGTTGTTACCGTATTCCTGTATTACGGTGAGACCTGGACTATGCGTCAGTGAAATCTAAGCGCACTAGAGAAATTACTTCAGTAATAACTCACTGCATCCTCCTGTTGCAATGAGGACTATTGAACAAATTATAGTGTCCTTCTTGAAGCCAACTCCACAAGCATTCAGGCAAAACTCCTGAAATATCAACTTCAGTGGACTAACCACTGTATTTGACCAGTTCTTGACCCTCTGATCAGTTGGCATATGAATAGGATGTCCCATGAGGTAGTGGAGTCCAGAAGGTAGGATTTGCTTCCTCCTTTTTTCCCTTCTGCCACACTCTGACTCATCATTAAAAAGTTGTTATTCTAAATGTGATGCATCTTGGTGGACAAGCATTTCTGCTGCTAGGTGCTGTTTTCTTGACCAAATTTCTAGGTGAAGCCAAGTAAAAAACAGACCACTTTTTAAAAAAAAAATCATTCGTGGGATAAGGGCATTGCTGGCTAGGTTGGCACTTATTGCCCATCCCAGAGGGCAGTTAAGAGTCAACCACTTGAAGCTCTTTCTGAAGCACTGAGGTGTTGACATTAATGATTGGTAGCAAGCTTCATCCAATCGTTCAAAATAGTGTCAACATGCCCACTGATCAGAGGGTCGAAAATCTGGTCTGTTCAGTCAAATGGAGGCCCATGGCACGAAATCATAGTTTTCCTTTAATCGAGGGGTAGCCCTTACTGTTTCAATAGAGTATTTCCCTACCAACCATTTTTGTCATTGTGAGATTTCCATGTCAAATAAAGTTAAGTCCTTTGTTAGCTAGTTGTCCTTTTATTAACTCATTGTCTTCTTAAATACATGCTTTCTTATGCATTTTCAGATACTGCGTAATCGTAATTGTACTGGAGTTCAAACTAGTGATAAAACTGTTCTTGAGTAGCTTAAAACAGTTTGTGCAATTTACTAATATCTAATAGTGCTATTATTTTAATTTTGTTCACCAGTTCTTCGGTAGATTTAGGAAATTTGGATGAATGTGTCTTGGTCCAGTCAAACGATGGTGAGTTAAGTCAAGAAGATAAAGAAGTTCTGAGTGTCTACCACCACAGCTTTGATGATGAAAAGGTTGACCTGGATCTAATTATGCACCTTCTTTATAACATTTTTCAGAGTTCCGATGATGGTAAGACAATGGTTTGAGTATCACTAATATTTATTTTCAAACTGAATGTTCACCATTTTATTAGCATAATTAAACTTCAGCTGCTGAATGCATTACACCTAGTTTTTGTCTGTTCAAATTGTGTGGAGAAAATGTGGAACTACCTTGTTTTGTCATGTTTTACTGTATTTAGAAAATTAACTAAAACTATAAGAGCATGAGAGTTTCTATAAATGTTTCTAAAAAGAAAGGAATTAACAAATTGAGCATTGGTCCATTAGAAAGTAAGACTGGAGAATTAATGTAGGAAAAGAAATGGTGGATGAATCTAACAAGTAGTTTGCATTACTCTTCACGATGGAGATGCATCCATAGTATCAGAAAAAGGAAGGCAAGGAGAAGCTCAAAAAATTATTACTACTAGAGAAGTGGTACTCAGTAAATTGTTAGAGCTGTGGGCCAAATGGACTAATGCCAATGGACTTCATCCTGAGGGTGTAAAATGGTATTAATTTTTGAAACATTCCTAAATTCAAGGAAGGTCCTATTAGATTGGAAGATAGCAAATG